CACACACACACACACACACACACACACACACACACATACATACACACACATACACACACACACACACACACACACACACACACAAGATACTACTATAATGACTGAGAGCGCTTCTTAAAGGCAAATCTTATATATTTACCAAGATTACGCAAATCTTTTACATTATTGGCACTGAGCAATTGACCAAGTTTAAATACACTGGGACGACTAAAATAAAATGGCTTCAGGTATCTCACCCGTAAATCTGCATAAATGAAGTGAAACTCATCCTCAATATCATGAGTATCACATAACCTTTGCACGTATGTGGGAACTTTGTGATGTATTCAGTAATTTAAAACAATTTTTTCAGATGTAGTCGGCCTCATAATAAGCTCCAAGCATTTATGAGTGAACAAGTTACACAGGCTAACTTACCTTAAAATAAAACAAAAAACAAAAAAAGTTAAAGACATGCGTATATATTGAGAACAAAGCGCTACCGCATGTGGCAGCAATCATGCCTGATGTCTGCAGTGAAACTTCGAAAAGTTCAGCTTTCTTTAATGAAGGAGATCTATATCAGAGGTTAGAACAAGGTCGGGCGAAGATGTCATACCCAGCTTTCATGTGGTATGTTATCGCCCCGAAGAAATCACAAAGATAAGAAAGCTGTATTTTATATTCGACATCCGAGAGGATAACAGGGTACTTTCAGTACGCCAAGGTTAAACGTTAGCGAGGGTAGATGAATGGAGACTGGTGCACAGTGTACGGGAAAGGAAATCTTGACAGGTAACAATACGTGCGCTGGAACTTAGAACAGGTACATGTATAAAGTAACCAGAGGCGCAGATGCGTGATCACTGCTATGTAACTATATGCTTTTATGGCAAGTATCTGTATACTTTTATAATGTATCCATAAAATTGTGATATCATGTTATTCAAATATGCAATATTGACTTGACTTGAGTAAAATCATAAGTCATATCGAACAGATCGCAACTACAGTCCCGAAAAATTAGTCTTACTGTCCGACTTGGTCTGTCTTAGTAATGAAAATCATATTGTCCAATCAGACAAAGATATCATAAAAAAATATTTAAAAAAAATGGATGAATACATTTCCTATCGAAAGGAGAATTGTGTTCGTGTTTGTATTAGAAGTAATTCAAAATTTGGCCAGTCTAACCAATATAAACCAATTTAAATAAAATGATCCATTCATGTTTAAATTATTTCACAACATTAATATACAACGAAAAGAACTAATAATAAACCTGAAAAAAATAATGCAATCCGTGATTTCTAGGATTGTATTAAATGTAATCACTACATACATAATTACAAACTCGTTCAATGTAACTCTTAAATAACAATTTTTACTCACCACCACACTGACAGCATATAAAACAGGTCCTGGTGACGCCAAAACAGACCAACAACGACCAACACAACAAAATCACGTGCGCTGCACAACCAGACATCTTGTTTACTGAGCTAAGCCGTAGGTCGAGCAGGTCCGCCAGGCCTGTAATTCTAGGTAAGAGATTAAAGGAGCCAACAGGGCCGACAGCGCTTCCAAGAATCTTATCAGCCTCTAAAAGGTAATTTAATTCATTCACAGAAAATGCCAAGTAAATAACTCTCTCACAACATATAGTCAGGCACATCTTGATAAATGAAGACCCAGTTATTTAATTGTATCAACTTACAACTGACAGAATTACCTTGGTTTTGAAATACATTTTAACTAGCTGTTACGTCTGCTCTTCTTCAATCTATTTCGCCCGGCACGAGTACTATTTCCTCCTTTGTCGTCGGTAACTACGTATATTGACTATGTCTTTTATATCGTTGAGCTGAATTATTGTGACAAAGGGCCGGGGCGACCGGGAGAAAATAACGTCTGTTCTTCTTAAATCTATTGCAGTCAAAATCAGTGTTGTTTTTATTGTTGGTAGCTCATGCCGATATATCTAATATCGTCAATCTGCGTTAAAGTGATACAGAGGGGATCGACAACTAACCCCATCGCTTCCTATCAAAGTAAATTACACTAATACACGGTATCAATGAGCAATATTAACCACACCGCACCCTATCAAAGTAAATAACATTAATACACGCTATCAATGAGCAATACTAACACCACCGCACCCTATCAAAGTAAATAACATAAATACCCGGCATCAATGAGCAATACTAACACCACCGCCCCCTATCAAAGTAAATAACATTAATACACGCTATCAATGAGCAATACTAACACCACCGCACACTATCAAAGTAAATAACATAAATACCCGGCATCAATGAGCAATACTAACACCACCGCACACTATCAAAGTAAATAACATAAATACCCGGCATCAATGAGCAATACTAACACCACCGCACACTATCAAAGTAAATAACATAAATACCCGGCATCAATGAGCAATACTAACACCACCGCACCCTACCAAAGTAAATAACATTCATACACGGTATCAATGAGCAATACTAACACGACCGCTCCCTATCAAAGTAAATAACATAAATACCCGGCATCAATGAGCAATACTAACACCACCGCACCCTACCAAAGTAAATAACATTCATACACGGAATCAATGAGCAATACTTACTCAACCACTTCCTACAAAAGTAAATTACATTACATTAATATACGGTATCAATGAGCAATATTAACCACACCGCCCCCTATCAAAGTAAATAACATTCATAAACGGTATCAATGAGCAATACTTACTCAACCTCTTCCTATAAAAGTAAATTACATTACATTAATATACGGTATCAATGAGCAATATTAACACCACCGCTCCCTATCAAAGTAAATAACATTCATACACGGTATCAATGAGCAATACTTACTCAACCACTTCCTATAAAAGTAAATTACATTACATTAATATACGGTATCAACAAGCAATATTAACCCCACCGCTTCTAATCAAAGGTAATTACATTCAAACACGGTATCAATGAGCAATACTTACTCAAACACTTTCTATAAAAGTAAATTACTTTCATACACGGTATCAATGAGCAATACCTACCCAAACACTTCCTATAAAAGTGAATAACATTCATACACGGTATCAACAAGCAATATTAACCCCACCGCCTCTTATCAAAGGTAATTACATTCATACACGGTATCAATGAGCAATACCTACCCAAACACTTCCTATAAAAGTGAATAACATTCATACACGGTATCAACAAGCAATATTAACCCACCGCTTCTTATCAAAGGTAATTACATTCATACACTGTATCAATGAGCAATATCTACCCAAACACTTTCTATAAAAGTAAATAACATTCATACACGGTATCAACAAGAAATATTAACCCCACCGCTTCTTATCAAAGGTAATTACATTCATTCACGGTATCAATGAGCAATACCTACCCAAACACTTACTATTAAAGTAAATAACATTCATACACGGTATTAACAAATAATATTAACCCATCGCTTCTTATCAAAGGTAATTACATTCATACACGGTATCAATGAGCAATACCTACCCAAACACTTTCTATAAAAGTAAATAACATTCATACACGGTATCAACAAGCAATATTAACCCATCGCTTCTTATCAAAGGTAATTACATTCATACACGGTATCAATGAGCAATACCTACCCAAACACTTCCTATAAAAGTAAATAACATTCATACACGGTATCAACAAGCAATATTCCCCCCCCCCCCCGCGTCTTATCAAAGGTAATAACACTCATACACGGTATCAATGAGCACTAATAACCCCACCGCTCCCTATCAAAGTAGTTACCTGTAGGACAAGTAAATGCCTGTAAACAGATTATGACTTTAAATATCGTTGACAGAAACAGGTACTTTAATTGGTAAAGGAAACTCTGCAGATCTAAACGAGTTCAAATGATTGCACGTTTCCTGTAAAAAGCAACAATGACCTTTACCCTGAATTGACCTTAAGTAACATTCTCAAGCAAGCGCTCTTGGCAGGAAAATTCTGTTTAACATTTGACTATTATAAACACAACGTAACGCAGGTTATTTCGCAGATACGGATACCAACGTTTCTAAGTACTAGACAATTTGGTAAACTACGTACACTACAAGATATACAAATATACTAGAGATAATGAGATGAGACAACTGTACATTATTCTAATGAAGTGTTTTGTTAATAATAAGACTTCCCTGTCAGGTTAATTTCTTCAAATTCTAATTTATCTTGTCGAAAACCTAATCCGTCTGTCTTTACAAGTTTACGACAAGTAAACAATTCCACAACTACTCCGTATTTACCATACTACGACGCAGATATCCAACGGGATATTCGGTACAGAAAATATACCTTATGACCATATGCTAAAAATAGAACTGTAACGGAAAAGTATTGAACGAAAACTAAAGTTACAGTGAACACTCTACAGGAAGGCCATTCCAAATCTGAAATTTTAAAAAATAACCAATGTATGAACTATACAGAGAGGTCGGTCACTTGTTACATAACTGGCTGAACAACACATGTGGACACAGAATTGTATTAACCTCACATTGTGGCCGCGACAGTCAGAAGTTCAGGAACACGACAGCAAATCTACATGCACACATATTATATCCTCTCTCTCTCTCTCTCTGGTACCACCTATTGTATATAAGCAATGAGGCACGTGCATCAATTTAATCTAACTTCTAATCTAACTTCTAGGCTGACCTTTCTCTTCGAAAACAACAATGCTAGATGTACCCTATGGCAATGACAGTTACCCCTGTCTGGTTTGGGGAGTTCACACTCTCGTTCCTATCTCTATGTCGTTATTGATGGACCTGTTCGTGGATAGCCATTTAGCACTATCTATAATTCAACAGTCCCCCGTCAAGCAATGCACAGTGTTACCCAACTCTTAAGATTTGACCTAAATGTAATTTTGACCAAATTGCTGCTCTCTATTAAAACCCTTTATCTTACAAGTTATAAAATGGTTCCATTCGTTATCATTGATTACAAACGACCTAATTGACAGCCTATTTTGTTACACACTATAAACACTGTATATAGAAGGCAGTCAATATAAACACTGTATATAGAGGGCAGTCACTATTAACACTGTATAGAGGTCGGTCACTATTGACACTGTATAGAGGTCGGTCACTATAAACACTGTATAGAGGTCGGTCACTATTAACACTGTATAGAGGTCGGTCACTATAAACACTTTATATAGAGTGCAGTCACTATTAACACTGTATTTAGAGGGCGGTCACTATAAACACTGTATATAGAGGTCGGTCACTATAAACACTGTATAGAGGTCGGACACTATAAACACTGTATAGAGGTCGGACACTATAAACACTTTATATAGAGTGCGGTCACTATTAACACTTTATAGAGGTCGGTCACTGTTGACACTGTATAGAGGTCGGTCTCTATTAACACTGTATAGAGGTCGGACACTATTAACACTGTATTTAGAGGGCGGTAACTATAAACACTGTATAGAGGGCGGACTGGATATAGAGGTCGGTAACTCTTAACGCTGTATATAGAGGGCAGTCACTATTAACACTGTATATAGAGGTCGGTAACTCTTAACACTGTATATAGAGATTGGTTACTATTGACACTGTATAGAGGGCAGTCACTATTAACACTGTATATAGAGGGCGGTCACTATAAACACTGTATATAGAGTGCAGTCACTATTAACACTGTATTTAGAGGGCGGTCACTATAAACACTGTATATAGAGGACAGTCACTATTAACACTGTATTTAGAGGTTGGTTACTATTGACACTGTATAGAGGGCGGTCACTATGTACACTGTATATAGAGGACGGTCACTATTAACACTATATATAGAGGGCGGTCACTATTAACACTGTATCTATTGACCCTGTATAGAGGGCTGTCACTATGTACACTGTATATAGAGGGCGGTCACTATAAACACTGTATATAGAGGACAGTCACTATTAACACTGTATAGAGGTCGGTCACTATAATCACTGTATATAGAGGGCAGTCACTATTTACACTGTATAGAGGTCGGTCACTATTTACGCTGTATATAGAGGTCGGTCACTATGAACACTGTATATAGAGGTCGGTCTCTATAAACACTGTATATAGAGGACAGTCACTATTAACACTGTATATGGAGGTCGGTAACTCTTAACACAGTATATAGAGGTCGGTCACTAGTAACACTGTATATAGAGGTCGGTCTCTATAAACACTGTATATAGAGGTCGGTCTCTATAAACACTGTATATAGAGGTCGGTCTCTATAAACACTGTATATAGAGGTCGGTCTCTATAAACACTGTATATAGAGGGCGGTCACTATTAACACTGTATAAAGAGTTCGGTCACTATTAACACTGTATATAGAGGTTGGTTACTATTGACCCTGTATAGAGGGCGGTCACTATGTACACTGTATATAGAGGTCGGTCACTATTAACACTATATATAGAGG